TTTTACCATTAGGTGAAACTATTAGGTGAAAAAACGAAAAAATCGATAAAAAGGAAAAAAATAAGACAAAAAATTTTGCGAAAATATTTATTGTTGGGTTACGGTAGCACTTGTTGCCGGCTGTGTTTTCGAAAATTCTCCTTGAAATACGGTGGCCTAACTTGTGTGAAAATTCGGCCACAACTCCAATTTTTTTGCACAAGAATAATACTATGATAAACAATTTATCTGTTGACACCTTTTTTATATCCTTGACTGTAATTGAGATAATTGAGCTTAAAGTCTAAAGAGCGAGCTTCTTTGAGAGGAATTACGGTAAAAAGAACTGACGTTTCTAGAAAAAATGACAGTAATAAAATGTATTTAAAATTCCAGGAATTTAAACCTATTTTAACTGGGAAAAAAATTTCCAATTTCAGAGTCAAAAAACTTTCTTATAGAATTAAACTTATAATTCTAAGAAGTTTGGTTCAGTTTAAAAAAACCTATAACAAAAGGTTCCCACACTCTCTATTTTGAGCTCAATTATCCCAACTCTTACACAAGATATCAAAAATGTGTCAACTTATAAAACATTGGTGATATTATGATAAACAAGTTATCAGTTGACAACGTTTTGATATCTTTTACCGGAATCGAGATAATTGAGATCAAAGTTGACGAGATGGGCTGAGATTACACAAAATACGGTGACTGAAAAAGTGAGTGAAGTTTTCAGAGAAAGTGAGTGAAGTTTTCAGAGAGAAAAATACAGTAAGCAAATGTATCTAAAGTTTCGAAATTGCAAAAATGTTCTCGCCGAGGGAATTTTTTGAAATTTCAGAAAGTTTTTTCTTCCAAAAAACCCATAATTCCAAAACACTTGGTTCATTCAGATTATGCTAAAAAGCTAAAGGCAAAACCAATATGGTGTGGGTTGATGTGTTTGTTGTTGGTATGTATTATGCATTTTAGATCATGTGGTCGGTGTGCCAACAAATGAATTTCGATGGGGAGAAGAAGAATTAGTGTGCCCAGTTAGCTAATTGAGAGAATATTTCGAAAAGGAAAACAGGGAAATTTTTCGCTAGGGAAAAGGAAATTTTCGAAAGAAGTTCACACTTTTAGTCTTAAGTCTAACTAAACAACGTTAAGGAGCAAAAATAATGAGTAGTTTGAAATTTTGATATCTTGAACTTTTGAAATTCAACTGATCATATACCAAATTGAGATCCACAATCCTAAAAAAACATAGAATTTCCGGGACATTCTGTTGGGGGGGGGGGGGGATTCTGGGCACCCTTTCAAGGCAATCCTATGCTTTTATTGTGTTGTTATCCTTAGTTGTTGGCATTATTTCTGGCTGTACACATACACGAGGGACACAATAGGCATCTAGTAGGCCGAAAAAAACAAGTAAGCGAATACAGGTGGCGGTATCAATTTTCAGAAATTGATAGCTTGAAATGATTTGGTATTTTTAATTTGGGAAAGAAAGGGACTTGATTGGAAAAATGAATGAAAAAAAATTAAAAAATTGAAAGACACTGTCAAATATTTGACTGATTGGCTGAAAGAATGTATGTTTTGATTCAATTTTTTCGCCTTTTAATCCAAGAGCAAATATAATAGTTTGGGTCAATAGGAAATGAAAACAGGACTAACTGAATCTCAAAAAATGAAAAATATATAGAAAATAGTTGTTCCAGAGCTATCAAACTAGACTCAAAGAGACTAGTTTTTTATGGACGACCAAAAACGTGCCTACAGCGACCAGATCCCAATTGTATCTGTGGTATGGAATACTAATATTGGTTGCCTTGTTTGTACGACAACGCTCTTCGGTGACAATGGGAAGGAAACAACTGAAGACGTGGAGAGACGAACAAAATAAAAAGAATTTAGTTGCCATGGAGGATGTACTAAAAGTTGATATTATGCCTCCTGGGAAGATACGAGGGTGTGTATTGTTGATGTTTATGTGGTATAGTGCATGATACTGAATTCACAGGTAATAGAGCCGGAAACATCAGAAACCGATAATTGTTTTTTTTTATTTTTGGATGATTGTTCAAAGATTTTGAGAATATTTTGTGGGTAACATTGAAAATTCCGTCTTCCTTTGATTATTGACAATTCACCCACCTTATTCAATTTTCTGGAGAATTGGTTGTAATCTTATGAGGCAAAAAAAAATTGACAAAAGCAAGCGAAAAATTGGGTCAAACAGTTTTCCCAATTTCCCGGAACTGACCAGAAATAAAGTGACAAAATTCAAGAAACTTTGAGCAACACATTTTTCAATCAAGTCTAAGTCGTCATTCAAACCATATCACCTGAAAAATCGTCATTCAAACCATATCACCTAAATTGATTTTCTCAAAAATTTTAATATGAAATTAGTTATTTGAAATAAGAGATTTTCGACTATAATGTATTTCTGGGAACAATTTCCAAATTTGTGTTGTAGACAGTACCCTTAATTTCCAGAAAAATAAATTGCTTGACCGAAAATGTTGTAAAATTTGAAAAAAAACTGAAACCTGGGAATTCGTCATACTTTATTTGAAAATACCGTAAACCCTGTATTAGAAAAACCTTTTTAATAGAGGAGCCCCGTAACAGAGGGATCCCTGTAACGTAAAAACTCCTCCAAAAGTTGTCTTGAAATTGAACATTTTCCGTACATTTTCATGGAAAAATATTCCGGGAATTCCATAATTTCATAGAAATAGTTGAGAAACTTTTTTTTTGATTTACAAAACTTGCTAAATTTTGGTCAAATTGACAGATTTTCATGAATATTGAACGAAAATTTCGGGGAAAATGGCCGGGAAAAATAGAAGGGCTCCCTCTAATTGGAGGGTCCCTGTAATAGAAAGGCCCTCCGGAGGCGACTTGAAAAAATAGAAGGGCCGGACCTTCTAGGTTCAGTTAATTCAGTTCAGAAAATTTCAGTAAATTCACTTTCCGGGCGAGGCCTCGAAAATCGACTCTTTAGGTGTCAGTTTCTCAAATTCGACTATATTAGCTTCCTGTTTTTAGAAAAATTGTGTTTTCAAGTTCATACTTGTTTAACTGAATTATTTTCAACTTTTGTAATTTCTGTCTCTTCACAGCCAATCAGCCAAATTAAGCGTATTACTGTCAAATTACTCATATTCCATTGGTTCCTCTTCTTTGTTCATAAGTGTGTTCCAATAACTTTTTTGCAATAGTAAAACTATAAAACTGATAGTACCTGCTGGTACCTAAACTCATAAAAGTGCTTGAATGCCATAACAATTTTGTAAGGTCATAAAAGATAATTATCGTTTCTTAGGTCCATGAACAGCTCTTTTTATTGAGCTCGTTAAACCATGAAAATGAAAAGCTAGAGTTTTGAAAAATAGGGACCTTTAAATTTTCATAATTTTCATTTCAAATTTCCCTATTTCCATTTTCCTTTTCCAATTGTGTGATTCACAAACAGCTGCTACCTTACATGATTCATTTCCCCTCCCACACCAAGAAACATGAGCATCTGTCTGTACAGTTTGCTCCACGTCTATTCTTGATAATCGGTCCCCACCTCCTATTCATTCATTTCTGCAGTGTTTCACTCCTCTCCTTGCTCTCAGCCCACTGTCTTTATTTCGATAATGATAAGAAAATGTGCTAAAGTACCGCCATTCAAGTGAAACACTCATACACATACACACACAAACATTCTTCACCCTCATTTTTACTATCACAATGGCATGCCATAAGAAATTTTGGTGGTGGGGAAGAGCCGATTTGAGGCGCCTGTCATCATCATACACTCGTAAAGTTTCACAGCTTTTCACCTCCGCCTTTCTTTTTCCGATAAGACCTTTTTTCCATTCTTGGTATTACTTGCCCTTTCGTCTTGAACTTTATTTCAGATGTCTTACTTCTTTTTCCTTTAGAAATTTATTCATGAAAAAGTTTTTTTTTAGAATCAATGAATTCCGCAAACGCCAGGGATTGCCTCCTGCATCTGGCTAAAGCTAAGCTCTCGGAGCGAGAAGATCTAGTCCGGCTCAATGATCAGCTAGTGGACATTATTGAGAGTGTAGGTTGCTAAATGTTTGATTGTTCCATTTTCAAAGCCCTCTAGGTTCACTTCATGGAAGCTGAGCATGCCGCATTGGAGCACGACCACAACTTGCTCAAAACCGGCGTCCAATCCGACAGCAGTGGAATCAACGAGATCTATGAAGTTGAAATTAGAGTGAGTGTTCATTCCCAAGCTCCTGTTATCAGTTCCAACTCTAGTACATTATTTACTTTCTGTTTGAGCAAGTTTGCATTCTCAATGTGTCAATGAACATGTGTTGACAGTTTGGAAATTATAGATGTACTACAGAAATTTTAATAGTTTTGATATATTAGAGCATACTCTGATAAGTCAGTGCACTTTCGGCGTGCACACATGCGTAGTTTTATTACGGCCATAATAATCTTTTATGGCCATTTGTGTGTTTCCAGCGTGAAATTTACACATGTTTCTATTCTAATTATAATTATCATTTGGAGGGAGTGGCAGCAAATTTTCGGACTATGAAAGTGGCTACTGATATTAAAAAAGTAGTGGTCAGAAGCATACGAAAGTGTTGATAAGACAAAAAAGGAAAGATCAAAAATCGAATTTTTTCAGAATGTTAGAGCCGGTGTCGAGGATATCAATAGAAACCGTCAGCAGCTTCTTCATGAGCAATCTACTCTCTCCCAACAGGTCAAGGAGGTCGAGCAACAATGGAGACACACTGCTCAGTCAGCTTTTGGAGTTCCAAAAGAGGTTGATGAGGAGTTTGCTAGAATTTGTCAGATCAAGTATGAGAATTGTATTACTCTGAAAAGGATTAAGTACATGGAGGAGAAGAATCGATTGACCAAGCAGAATAAAGGACGCATTTTTGAGCAGATCAATTTGATGAGAATGGTACGTTTCGGAGGGAAATTGAATGAAAAAGCTATTAAAATCATAATTCATGTACAGTAGTTTTTGGTAAATCCAGGAAGCTACTGTGGCAACTGATTATGTTTATACAGTACCGTCCATAAGATGTACAAAAACATTTTTTTTCAGTTGATTTGGACCATTTTCAGGAGTCTGCAAGTCGGCTGTCAAGTTTCTGATCACTCTGAAAAGATAGGAGGTTATAAAACAGACCTAGATGCACAACTTTAATTTTACAAAATTTTTCAAAAATTCCTAGTTTTTCAGTTATTCACCGATTTTTGAAAGACACATTTTTCAATCGTTTTCAGTACAAAAACAGAAAAAAGATGTCCTTCAGAAATCGGAAAATAACTGAACAATTACGAAATTCAAAAGACTATATAAATACAAAATTGTTAATCTAGATCTGTTTTAAAAATTTAAAAATTTTCAAAGTGATCGGACACTTGGCAGCCGAGTTTCAGGCTTCTGAAAATAGTCAAAATCAACTGATGTTGGGATTTTGAGATTCGTAGATTCAAAGATCCTCACATTTCTGAAATTCACTTTCCTCGACAACTAAGTGGTTCCATAAGCTACAAAAGCTGCAATTATTTTGAAATTAACTAACCAGCTTCCTACTTCAGAGAAAAGATCAAGCCGTCAGTCTCCAACAAGAATACCTCCTTCGCAAGAATGAACTTCTCAACAGCATCCGCAACCTGGAGGAGGACAACAAGAGAATCATCATGAATGAACACAAGTATTTCACTCGCGACCGTACTGCCGATCGCCACGTCTTCCGTGACCAGCTCCGCCAGGCTATTAACGATATCCGTGCGGACTACGAGTTCAAGCGTCTCAGAAACGAGGAGGAGATTCGTGTTCGTCTGGAAAGAGAAATGAACAGAATCAACTCAAATCCAACTGTCAGTATCACTTGGGACAGACTGAAGGATGAGCTTTCGGTGGTGAAGACCAACTGCGCATCATTGCAACAACAAGTTTCCAATGTGGAGATCAGAGTAAGTCCAAAAAAACGTATCTTATGAAAATTCTCATTTTCTCGACTTCAGAATGCCACTCTCACTCAACAAATCGAACTTCTTCGCTTGGAAATTTCGGAGAACAATCAATCATTCGAAATCAGTCTTGAATCGAAGATTAAGGAGATTGAGAAGCTCAGAGAGCAGTGCACATCTATCAGTGTCGAGTTGGAGAAGCTCTGTGATTTGAACATTGTAAGTGTCTTTTTGTCTTGCTAGGTTCAATAAAAAAGTTTTCAGGATCTCGAGAAGGAGATAGCTGTCTACCGTAGACTTTTGGATGGATCAGGAAATGTGACTACCCACACTGGTAGCGTCGGTTCTTTGGCTAGAAGCTTAAACCATCACTCTACTCAATTCATTCATGAGAGAACAACTGATCGGCGAGAGAGCACCATCGCAGATTTAGAAGAACCAGCCATCCGGTTCCACCACCAATTCATCGTTATCAACCGATTCAACCACTAGCGCCAGTCAGTACTATTCCCGAAAGCCGCGAGAACATCTACACCCGCTCCTCATAGCCCATACCAACGGGACNTACTTTCCCATACCAACGGGAATCTCGCTCTGCTAGTAGCAGCCGCGTCTCTGTGATTGACACTCATTCCGAAAGATATCCTCCAGTCCCACTACCACCGGCACCAACTATTCCATTGCCACCAACACCAGTTCCAGCTGTATCAGTTATTCCACTCTCACCAGCTCCAATCCCAACTCCAATCCCAGCTGCTCGAAACTCGGGACACTATGATGGCTATAGCTCGTCTACATTGCAGAAACGTCAGGAATCTTCTGGACAATTGTATACAACTCAGACCACTGGAATCGGAAGTGGAATCGGAAGCGGAATTGGAAGCGGCATCGGCAGCGGTATCGGAGTTGGAATTGAACAGAGGAGAACCTATCCCGCTTATGACACTCCATACACCCCAAATAGAGTCGAGACTCCGAGAAGAGTTGAGGAAACTCGCTACGACACCAGTCACACTAGACCAGCTAGTGAATACACCAGAGTCTCCCCATCATTCCCTCCAATCCGGCCAATATCTGAAACCATCAATACCGGCTACGAGGCCTACAAATCCAGAAGAAGCGGTCCCCATGAGGCCCGACCAGGTAGCCATGTTGGCTCCCAAGGTATCCACGTTGACACCCACGTTTCTCACGTTAGCACCACCGGAGCTCATCATGGTACTCATAGTACCCACACCCACACCCACGGAAACCAGCACTCCGTCAGCAGCAGCGCAAATGGACACATTAAAATTGACCACTACTCTCCACCACGAAGACCTTCTCCATTCCCAGAAACCACGAAACCATATAATGGAGGAATCGAGGAGAGCAGCAGTGAGTGGTGTTAATTTTTGGTCTCTCATTGGCTCGAACAAAAAAGCTCTTGTCAATAAGCCCCTAAACCGTATCATTCCATTCCACACAGTTTCAAACATTTCGTACAATCGTTTCCAGATTAGTTTGAAAAAATATAGCGAGCTGATAAGGCAGCTGTGTACACACACGGCCGCAAAAAACTTTACAATTTTTTAGTGATTAGGCTTTTC